GCGCTCAAGGAGCGCCTCGACACCGTGGTCAAGCTGTACCGCTACCAGCACGGCAAGGCGATGACGGTTAAGGCTGCGGCGCAACGTCTGTCCATCATCCTCTACCAGAAGCGCTTTTTCCCGTACTACGCGCACGCGATTCTGGGCGGCTTGGACGAGGAGGGCAAGGGCGCCGTGTACAGCTACGACCCCGTAGGCAGCTACGAGAGGGAGCAGTGTCGTGCGGGTGGTGCGGCGGCGAGCTTGATCATGCCGTTCTTGGACAGTCAGGTGAACTTCAAGAACCAGTACGAGCCGGGGAGTGGGGTTGGGCATAACTTGAAGGAGAGGGAGAAGGTGCTGTTGGGGAGGGATGTGGTGGAGGATCTGGTGAAGGATGCGTTTGATAGCGCGGTGGAGAGGCATATTGAGGTTGGTGATGGGCTGTTGATGATGGTTATTACGAAGGATGGGATTGAGGAGATTTACAAGCCGCTCAAGCAGGATTAGGGGGGGAGAGGGGATTGGCGTTTTCTAGACCTGGCACGAATATGGGGTAGAGCAGCGTGTATACTATGAATTCATAACGGTGTTATATGGTTTGACCAGAAACTCTTCCGTTGGGGACTGAGTAACTGCTTTATTGACTGGATCTGCATCGATGTGAGATGTGAGAAAGGTAGTTGGCTTTCTTGCCGCTTTTACAGGAATGGGTTTGTTTGGCGGCATGCGAAGGGACCGCGGCTACCACATACATGGCATAGATGATCTTACTTTTGCTGTCACTACTCTATTGCCGTCATAATCCTACTGCTGCACCGCTCCTTCTCCATCACCAATGAATGAGCTTTAGCTTCGCTGTAACTCGTACGTGGATTCCGACACGAGTTCTCACTACGTCGCGAATTCTCTAGGGGTCAAGTGCCGAGAGTCTTCTAGGGTCTAATGGAGCAAGAGACAAAACAGCCTTGATATCGTTGCTCTTGTTGATCCACTGCTTTCTAGTCACCACTCATTTCCGCCACTGCCATTGTATGCCAACATCGTCTCGAGAGTCAACCAGGCAGCAGCTGAACCAGAACAAAATCTTTCTAACCTGCGCGCTGAAGTCTTCTGGAAACCCCCCCTCCCCCCCGACATGTAGAAGTATTAATGCGGATAAGGTGTTTGTTTCGAAAGGTCTGTTGTGGTCACTAATGATGTGATATATACTATTTCCAACTCGATCCCAATCGACCACTATAAGTACAGCACTTACCATAAAAAAATCATTGCAGCCTAAAAAAAATATAAACATCGTGGGAGACAGGAGAGAGGGAAAGAGAGAGAGAAATGGTGGGGGCGAAGGGAAGGGAGAGATAGACGGAGAGATCTGAGTTAGAGAAATATTATTATATAGCACCTTGGACCAGCCGACACCGTACTGCAATTCCGCATATCAAAAATGAACGTATACCAGACCATGGATTGCGAGACACATGCTGCAAAGCATCACAAATGTATACAATGGTTGTTGCATTGTCCCAGGCCGAACCATTCGTCTTACCAATATTATCACCGCTCTATTGTTGTCACCGCCTCCCTGCTGTCACCACTCAGTCCCCTGTCACAGTTTCGTTGCCATCGCCGCTCCTTTGCCGTCGGCGTCGCTGCGTGCCAACTTCCTCCGGGGAATTACCTAGAAAGTAAATGGCCGGAAGCAGACTCGTCTCGCGATCGTGCGGGCCGAATTCGTTTGTAAATGGGCTAGGGTAGTGAAAGCACCTGAGTATCGAAAGGTTTGGTGGAACCGGTTCTGTTATTTATATTACCCTCCGAGTGGAGCCCAATCAATCGACCTTCAGACTTCTTTCTCAAAGCTTCTATCTTTGAATCGATAACCTACAGTACGCTTCTTCCCGTAGCCCAATCCAAAGGTAGTCATTGGATTTAAACGTGATCTCGAGAGCGGCTTCATACAAATAGCCATTATATTAAAACTAAAAGGCCATAATATCCTGCCTCCTCCCGCCGCAATAAAACATTAGATCCCACCCTACAGCGCATTCGCTTCCTATCAAGACGTGCAAAATCAACCCCCATAGATATAAAAGAGGCGCATAATAGCCGCAAGGCCGTGTAAACCACCCAACAGCTGGGTGAATGGGTATTAAAACAAAATTTCCATAATCCCTCCGCATCAAAGCTAGCCGCCAGCTCAACCCATTCCAACAAAGGAAACCAACGCAAAGTAGAGAAGCATATACAAAGCCTCAACGCTTAAAAAGCTTACGCGTCCGACTTATCACCATCACCACCTCCTCACTTCTTCGCCGACCCCTCCCCCGCCTCAACCGTATCATCGACCCTATCCTCCTCCTCCTCCCTCTCCTCCCTCTTCGCGCGCCCCCCATGCCTCAAATTCCGAATCGCCTGTTCCGGGTCCTCAATCGCCTCAAACACGCGATCCTTCTTACTCTTCTTCCCCGCCGCGCGCTCATCCATGCTCTCCTCATCGCTCGAGCTCCACCCGCCGTCGCTGTCGCCCTGGTAGACCTGGATCTGCTCGCCCTGGCGCTTCTTGGTCTCGCGTTGCTCCTTCTTCATGCGCTGCAGCTTGTCGTCCGTGCACGGCTTGGTGACGATCTTGAGGCCGGGGAGGTTGGCTTCGAGGAAGGACTGGAGAATGGGGAGGAGCTTGCCGTCGGGCCGGTAGGTGCCGCTGTCGTTGTCGATGACGAGCTCGTAGTTGGCGGGGTCCTTGGGAGGAGGGGAGTGCGGGGGACCGCCTTCGATGTCGTCGGTGGGGTGGGTTTGCTGGTTGGGGGATTCGGGGCTGCTGTTCTTGTCTTTAAGTCGGCGGATGAAGAATTCGCCTGAGCAGGCAATGTAGAGGTTGACGTCGCTGTGCATGGTGTGCTTGCTCAGCATGTCGATCCCGAACTCCTTGCCCGTTTCGGTGAAGCGTAGGAGTCCGTCGAGGGTGAGGACGTAGGTGAACAGGCGCCCGCCCTCGTCGAAGTGCGCTAGTTTGAGGAACTGGAGCGCCGCTTCCTTGGACCTGGGTTCCATGTTGCCGTGGGTTGTGGTGTTGGAGTAGTTGTACACGCGCGCGTGCTGGTGGTGTAATGCGGCGTTCAGCACGTGTCCGCGCAGGCCGGTCTTGTCAAACATGCCCTTGACGAAGGGTTTGAATTCCACGAAGCGGTGATAGAGTTCGTCGGGGACAGGGCCTTGCAGTTGGATCTGGTTGGCTTGGAAACTATAGCGGGTTAGTTCTGGGATGGTGATTGAAGTAGCTCCGAATGTCCGTAGGGACTTACTCATATCTTTCAACCTTAGCCTTCTCGCCTTCACTTCCCTCAACCTTCGGCGCCTTGGTGCCAGTTAGACGCCCAATCATAGGACTGTTATGTTTCGTCCAGCCCGTTGGACCCACGGTGTACATCTTCCCATGAGGCTTATCGCTCTTGCCCAGCACCTCCATGCTCAGGAACAGCTGACCCGAAAGATCACCATCGTTGCCACACATCGTCGTGATGCCCTTCAGGAGATATGCGCGCCAGCTGCCCATCCGCTTCTTGACCGGGAAACTAGCCTCGTGCATCCCCTTCCAATCCTCCCCAATGTGTGGCACCACCACCGTCACGTTGCCGAGTCTGTCGTCCGAATCATTGGCATCCTCGTCGTAGAGGCGGCACTTCAGCTTGAAGCCACTGCTCGGCACGCCTGCCACGATCCACTCCTGATTCCACACCGGATTGGTATCCTTTTGGATCGTCCGTGTCCGTAGCTTCATATCAGGGTCCTCCTTGTGCCTCTGTCTTATCCCTGAGCTTGTCAACGTCGCAATCAGGAACGAGTCTGACGATGCTGTGCCTATGTCCCCAATAGGCAGGTTCTCGGCGCGGACGAATGTGAACTTGACGGTATATCCATCTGGGGCTGACGGGACGGGCGTCGAGTCGTATCCGCCCGGGGGGTTGGCCGCCTCGATGGCCTTCTTTTTCTTCTCCTCGACCTTGTCCTTTACTTTGTCCTTCTTCGAGCGCTTCTCCCTGGCTTCGGATTCCTGATCTGGGTGGGAATCGCCATTCTGGGTTGCTGGCTCCTGTTCGGACTTTTCGTTCTGGGAATTGGGTTCGGCGGGTTGTTGTTGTGCGTCGTTCGAGGCGGGTGTGTCTTTGGAGACGGGCTCCTCGGTCTTTGATGGGGCGTCGGTCATTTTGTCGGTGGATGAAGACATATGAGATTTCTAAGAGACTCTAGGCGTACAGTGTCCTAGGAAGTATATATAGCCTTTAACAGAGGATTAACGAGTGGTGAAATGTGCCGTTGAGTGGCAATGCGCAGCTGAAGTTGAATTGAGGCGTTTGTGTCCCGCGTTCTCTGTTGCCGCTCTACCAATAACTTGCAGCTGCGGCTTATGCTTACAATCGACAGAACTCAGCTGGCACCCGAAGTGGAAGGTAGATTGGCAAATTAAGCAGAGAGAGCACGAGCGAGGAGGAAGAAAGGTGAGAATAGAATCAGCCGCGTATAGATTCCCCACAATTGACGCAGTAAGGCCCTCCTTGGCAAGGCTGTCAATTATGGATTCGAGGTTCGGGGCTGGCTCGGCGATGTGCGCAATATGGAATCTGGTACTCGCTCTCTCGATGACCGTTATTAGGTTATGGAGTGAGTAGAAGAGTAGCGTGTTGAAATGAATCCTAAAGATTAATCTCTCTCTATATATATCAGCGTGTCAATTGAAAAATATAACAACAACACATCGGTGAAAAGCTAAGAGCGAGCCAAGAGCAGCATGATGACGACCATCTTCACAATATTGAGGGCACGGTACTTTTTAAGAGGGGACAACATGGGGACAACATAATAGCCCCTGTGCTAGATGCCGCCCTTGCCGGATCATCTTTGTGTCTTGGCCCGGGAACTACCAGTGAGAGAGTACGTACCCTCCTCTATATTACGTTTTAGTACGGCAAAAAAAAAACGTGATAAATGTCCCACCAAAATCAACACAAAACGCAAAAAATAAACTCCCTCGGGTGGGCTCGAACCACCAACCTCTCGATCGTCTGCGAATCATCAGATGAATCAAGTAACAGTCGAACGCGCTAGCCAATTGCGCCACGAGGGACTTTAACTTGTATATGTGGAGGTTTGTAAATTGAAACTATATACCAGTGTAATGTTGGCGTGGCGACACGCTCACGAAAACTACGGCCAAGTGGTTGCAAAGTTGCGCTTAGCAGGTTATAGTTGTTCGCTCCTTCCTTGAGAAATGTAGTAAGCGTGTAATAAGTGTGTTAATTATAGTAAGGAGTTAATTATGTTATTAATTATGTTATTCGTTCCTTCCTAGGATTTTTCAAGGGCGGATCGATGAAGTATATTGGGATGCGGTTAGTACTATTGTTTTTCCGCCAGAATAGTATTCATTGTACATCACTAATATAAACACTTCTCCTACAACTCTGCTCTTTTGGTTGGCATTTGCGTATTATCTGCTTCTCTTATTTTTCATTTTTCTGCTACCTTCAACTTTCTTGTAAAAGTCGTTTGCGCCATAGCCAAGCGATCTGAGGATTCCGCTCAAGATTAAAATACTGCTTATATATATATTGGGTTTTTCGGGTTTTTCGAGTTATGGTCTTTTTATATATGCTTTGTTTCATTTTATGAGTGGTTAGGATAACTATACATTTTAATTACCATTGCTATTGACATTTACATTTTTATTATTTATATTCTATCAGCCTATATTTGCGATTATCATATATCCTCGAGCTATCCCATCTTCGAGCTATCCTATAAGCCACCCTAGGAAGCCAGCGACTGAAATCCCAGCAGTCCCAGCAGCAATTGCCATCCATCCCAGCGTTCTCTGAAAGCCAGCACTATAAATTCCCAGCAATTCCCCTCTTTTCAGTTGTCGTGCCAAAACAATCTCATATACTGTCGGCCTATGCGAAGGAACTTCCCCGCTTCAACATCGCATATCTCACCACATCCACGACTAATACCTAGAGCAGTAATTTCTTCTTTGTTTGCCTCGTTGAATAATGCCATACTATGCTATCATAAGATACCGTCTCACAGGAACAAGTCTTCCTCCTCCCCCCCCTCCAAACAGCTATTATATATCCACCCTCTCCCACCATTGCGCCGCCCAACACCAGGCCACCAACCCACCCCATCCCATCCCATTCCCGTGCCTTCTATCCGTACAACTCAGACATCTACTATATGTGTCTATCCAACACCCCTCCCCCGGAAAAAAAAATAACCCCTCCCTTCAAAACGCCAACCTCCACAAGACGAAACAATCCTGGTATTCCCAAATCACATTAAATCCCACCACTCCACCCCCCCAGCCCGCCCCAACTCCGCCTCCTCTCCCCCACTTCCCCGTCCCCAGACCCCTCGAGTCACCTCTCCGGTATCACAGCCCTAGCCAGCCTCCCCCCAGCACTAACACGCTTCTGCAGCCTCGCCTCCCTCGCCCTCTCCTTATCCGCGGGACTGCTAGCATTGCTACTAGCCGCTCCGGCGCCGCCGCCACCAGACAACGGCGTAATCCCCAGCTTCTCCCCCCTCCCAAGCTTAAGATCCACATACAGCGCCGCGGCCCTACTAAGCGGGAACGCTGGCAGCGACGCCGGTACCTCCGCACCATTCTGCACCAGCAGCTCCGCGACCGGGAACGCGACGCTCTTCGGCTTATCAGCTGTGCGTGGCGGCGTCGGCGACGGTAGCGATGACGACGGGGACGCTGGATCCGCGGCTGCAAGAGCGAGGAAGACGGCGTGCGTGGCGCGGGATTTGTCCGTTGCGTTGGGGTTAGCGCGGAGGGCGAGGGCGTAGACCACGGATTGGATCTCGTTCTTCTTGATTGCTGCTAGGAGCGTCTCGTCTGGCGTGCCGTAGCGGGACAGCGTGGGCGATAGCGGCGCGACGTACGCGCGATCGACGTACTTGGCTGTTATGAATTTGAGGCGCTGGTCGCGGGTTGCTTGTGGGGAGGGCTTGAGCGAGGCGTCGAGACGCGCTTCCCAGATGGTGTTGGAGATGCGGTTTCCAACGGCGAGGAGGAGCTCGACGATGTCGGCGGTGAAGGAGGTGATGTCGAGCGTTAGAGAGCGGACCTTCGAGATGTGCGTGCCGAGGGAGCGGTGGATCCCGCTGCACTCGATGCACATGATGATGGCGAGGTTTATGGAGACCCATTCAGTCTTGACGCCTGATCCGCAATCGGCGCACCAGCAGTTGCCTTGGTCGGCTTCGCGAAGGACTTGCAGAAGCTTGTCAGGGCTCTCATCGAGGGCAGCGCTAGTTTTGCGCTGGTATGCGGGACGTGCACCGACGGTGGTGCGGCGGAATATGTCGTTCTTGTTTAGGACGGAGGAGTTGATGGACTGATGGGCTGCATGGGCGGCGTGGCCAAGGGAGGTGCTCTTGCCTGTCAGGATGGAGCCAATGTCGCGCCTGATAGAGGAACCTTCCTGCGGTGCTCTTGGGGCTGCGACGATATCTTGGATGCCACGGCCTTCCATGGCGCTCTGAAGTGCGTTATTGATGGCTGATATCCAGCTCGTCATGTCTTCTTGCGACGTTGACTGGTATACTCTGGTATAATGAGGAGTGATCACCTCGAAGCAGAATCGCCGCTCGGCATTCCTGGCCTCTCGAACAGAAGCTAAGCGGAGGTCGATAGGGTCCATGTGGAGATCGAGTTGTTCCTTCCAGTTACTGTACTCCGAAAGCTTCCCTTGGTCAAGGACGATCCAAAATCTACTGAATGTTAGAGAAGCTCGTGCAATTACTGTGGTAGAACTTACTTGTGCCAAGACTGCTTGTTGAGGCCCTTCGGATCGACATGACTACCGGGTTTGCTCAAAGCCCACAAAAGTCCCTCCTTCCTCTCCGTGCCAACTCTTTCGTTGGAGCTGCTGAGACTATAATCCTTCTCCTCTAGATCCCGAATGCCCTTGAATTTACTGGCTTCTCTAGGGCTTGGCAGAGGCGCACCTGCAGATGTAGTGGCTGGTTTTGAGCCGTCCGATGGCGCACTTGTTACGGATATCGAAAGGGGTGGGTTGCTGCTGATGCTCATACTCGGGCGCAATCGTGAGGCCGAGCTATCTGCTCTTCCAACTTCTGAATCCGAGAGGTGAGCTGTACTAGAGGCACCTACGGCGCCATTGCTTGTCTGTGGTGGGCGCGCCAGCTGTGGAACAGTCTCCGGCTCGACGTAGGTAACAGTGCTCATCTCAAGGTTTCGTCGTTTTTCCTCGCGCTCTGTCCTCATGTACTGGAACTCCTTATCGGCCTCCTTGACTTCGGTGCTCAGCGCCTCAAGCTGCGGAAGCATTGCTTCCACCTTCTTCGCGGTTGTGAGATAGTTTTTGGTTTGGCCATCGGCATACTTTGTCAGATGCGACAGAACCTCTTGCTCCTTGCGGCCACCGTGCAGATCCTGCATGAAGGAAGAATAATCGAACCGCTTGAGCTCGAAATTCCGCCGTTTGGCCTGATATTTGGTATCACTCTCTACCCGCTTCTTGTCTTTCATAGTATCCTGACGCTGTCCGAGATACCTTGAAACATATGAATAAAACTCTTTGCTCTCCTCCTCAAAGTCTCGCTTCTTCGACTCTGCCTTCTTAATATCTTGCTCATATACCTTGCTCAGAGGATCAATAATAATCCTCTGTAAATTCTTAGTGTTCTGCTTCTCGTAAAGCAATATCTCCTTCGCGATTTTGTCAAAGTAGTGATCTAGCGCTGGCTGCACCGCATTCGCGTTCGATGAGGATGCTTCCCGGAGAGCTTCCATAAAGTTGGACATGGCATCGTTGCATTCCATCTGTGCCACGTGGGCCGCCTCTGCCCGTTTAATGACCTTCTTCATGCGAGCGCGCATATTCCCCGTCTTCTGCTCCAGCGACTTCATCGTCGCCCGAAACAGAGGACCATCTTCGGTGGCGCTGAGATCTTCCCCAGGCCGCTGACACGAAACGTCCACTTTGGGTGCCTCTAGCTTGCCTGACCCAGACGACTGGGGCGGGCCATCAACCGCCGCTAGTATGGGAGATGGGAGATCTTCGTAGTCCTTTGAATCGAGGACGCTCTGTCGTGAGTCCACAGACTGTGTCGAGGGGACCCGGAGTTTCGGTGGCGCATTCAGCATATTTAGCGCAAACGGCTGGGAAGGCGAGCTTGGATCGCTGGAGCTGTACTGGACATTATTGACCCAGAATGAGAATGTCGCCAGAGTATTTAACCGATGGGCTCGCTGGTCGTATTCCACAAAGCTGCAGCAGTTCCTCCAGCCTCCTCCTTTGTCCTCCGTGGCCTTTGGCGGCCTCCATTTCCACGTCCAGTCGAATTGAACGGACTGGCTCCCTCCGGTCGCGTAGTCGCCAACAAGCTGTACGTTCGCATTTTTGTGTAGATTTGGATCGGCATGGAACTCAAGGGTGACTAAGTTTTCCACCTCCTTGGCGGTCGATGCGGACACATATGTGAGCCCGTTGAGCGCCGTATCGACCAAGGCTTCGGTGGAAGAGCCGCTTCCAGATGATGATGGTGGCTGTGACTGGCGTATGATAAGTGTGTATGTGAATGTGAGCTCCTCATCGTTGTTGATCTTCAACAGGAAATTTGGAACGGTAGAGGCCGGCGATGGGTCCGGATCCTACAATCGAGAGATTAGAACTATCAAAGTGGAAGCAAGGGATTGTCCCGTACCTGAACATATTCAACGATGCTCTGGTCGCTGGCGTCATGGCTCGCGCTGACCTTTGTCGCTGGGTATGAATTTGGCACAACATGGGCGACGACGCGCCGTTTCGAGTTCGTCACTGTAAGAGAGGCGATTGAGACTAAGCGCACAAATCTGATTAGCATCGTCACATGTCTTCTGCAGCTAGATATGAAGCTTACAGCGAGACTGATCCCTCAGGTACAGAGCCGCGCCATCCTCCGGTCTACTGCTGGTAACTCCCATGATCAAAGGCTACCCCGCCAAAGAAGCAGCGGCAGTCGTGGAGTTTGCGGACAAAGGCGGCAGATTCGAGGATCTAAAAGGATGACTGTCTGGTATATGTTCTGGCATCGGTGGTTATGGAGTATCCA